GGGAACGCTGAGCCCTGTCCCACCCCTCTGCCACCATGTCCCCTCTAGGACTGTGACACTGGCTACACCCGCAGCACCGCCGGGCTCTACCTGGGCACCTGCGAGCCGTGCCAGTGCCACGGCCATGCCAGCGAGTGCCACCCTGACACCGGCGTCTGCCAGGTCAGCTGGGGACAGCCAGGGGACACCCCGGGGACCCCCATGGCAGGGACACCAATGCCATCACCCCCTTTCTTTACAGGGCTGCCGGGATCACACGGAGGGTCCCCAGTGTGACAAGTGCCAACCTGGCTACTATGGCGATGCCACCCGGGGCACCCCGGGTGACTGCCAGCCCTGTCCCTGCCATGGACCCCGTGGAGACACCCAGTAGGTGCCGTTCTGTGGTGTGTCACATCTCCGAGGATGCTGACCAGGAGTCACCTGTCCCTTTGTCCCCTCCACAGAGTGACAACAATCTGCTTTGAGGACACTGATGGGCAGCCTACCTGCAGTGCCTGTGCCCCAGGGCACAGTGGCCGCCTCTGCGAGAGGTGACAGGGATGCCAAGGTGGGGCAGGGAGTGTTTTTGGGGTGAACACTCCTCTCACTGCCTCATTTTGCTTTGTCCCACCATAGGTGCTCACCCGGGTACGTGGGGGACCCGCTGCGGGGAGAGCCGTGCCGAGGTGAGTGTCACAGGGCAGGGACGAAGCGGTGTCCCCTGTGGTGGCACTAAGGAGGATCGTGGCTGACTGTGTGTCACCCCTCAGTGCCTGGTGTCCCCGGTGTGCAGTGCCAGTGTGACCCACGTGGCAGCACCAGTGAGGGCTGCGATGCCAACGGGCAGTGTTACTGCAAGGTGAGCCTTGTGTGTGTCCCCAGCGCCAGGAGGGGTGACAGGGCAATGTCACCATGCTGTTTTCCCCTGCAGGCTAACGTGGAAGGTCCCCGTTGTGCCACGTGCCGTCCCCACCACTTCCACCTGAGCGGGGATGAGCCGGCCGGGTGCCTGCCCTGCTTCTGCATGGGCATCGTTCAGCACTGCACCAGCACTGCCTACGCCCGTGGCACCGTGAGTGTACCCTGTCGTCCCCACGTGTCCCCAGGGTGTCCCCAGCTGTCCCAGACCCCTCTCACCCCTCGATCTCGCAGATCCGGACGTCCTTTGCCCCAGGGGATGCCCAGGGGTTCTCCCTGGTGAACCGCCAGCGCAGCACCCACGTGAGCAGCGGCTTTGGGGTGCAGATGGGGCACCCCCAGCCCCACCTGACCTATGAGCGCTTCAGGGAGCTGCCCCCTGACTCCTACTACTGGCAGCTGCCACCCCCCTACCAGGGAGACAAGGTAACAGGGTGACTCCTGGCAGGACCCGTGGGAGCCACGGGAATGCCCTGCCAGGGGCTGCACCCTTCCCCATGGACACCCTGGGCACTGCTGGGGAGGGGGAATGGGCACAGCCTCCTTGTCTCTGCCCTTCTCCTTTTTCTTCTTCCCCTTCTCCTTTCCCTTTTCCCCTTTTCTCATATCTGTCACCTTTTTCATCCTTGTTCTGTGCCATCCCCTGTCCCCGTCATCATCCCCATTCTTTTCTTTCTCCTCTTTCCCCATCCCATCCCCTCCCCATCCATCCTCATCCCTATCCTCTTTCTTTCCCCTATCCCCTTCCACTTTCTCGTCTTCCTTTTCGCTCTCCTCTTCCTCATCTCTGTTTCATCTCACCACCTTCCCCATCCCTGTCCCCATCATGTCCATTCTCTTCCTCTTCCCTTTGCCCATCCCATCCCAGCCCTTCCCTTTCCCACTGCCATCCTAATCCCTCCCGTGTCCTGGGGCAGGTGGGTTCCTATGGTGGTCGGCTCCGCTATACCCTGACCTACACCCCGGGGGGACAGGGAGCCGCCCTGCCCGACGCCGACGTCCAGATCACAGTAAGGGGGTGCTGGCTGGGGTGGGACAGGGACACCCCTGCTGACAGCAGGACCCCCTGAGCCCCTTGGCCCTCTTGTCCACAGGGCAATGACATCACACTGGTGGCCTACCAGCCCAACCTGCCCCCGCGGACCCCCCAGGCCTTCGAGATCATTTTTCGGGAGGTAGGAGGTGGTGGGCGGCTTTTGTTCCTGGTGTCCCCCTTTCCCAGAGTGTGTCCCCCACCAGCCCCCCTGTTCCTGCAGCAATACTGGCAGCGGCCGGATGGGCAGCCAGCGACACGGGAGCACCTGCTGATGGCACTGGCTGACCTGGATGAGATCCTCATCCGAGCCACCTACTCCACGAGCACAGCCGTGGCCACCATCGCCGACGTGGCCATGGACACGGCTGTGCCCCCCCAGCCCGGCTTGCCCCCAGCCCCCGAGGTGGAGGAATGTCGTTGTCCCCCCGGATACCACGGGCTGTCCTGCCAGGTGAGCCCAGTCCCTCCCAGTATCACCCCCATCACCTCGCTACCCTCCTCCCCAGTGTTTCCTCATCATCGCTCCGATCACCCCCTGGCATTCCATCATCCCTCCAGCATCCCCCCATCACCCCCATCGTCCCTCCATCATTGTACCATCATCACCACCAGCAGTGCCATCATTGCCCATCAGCCCCCAGCACCCCCCCAGTATCCCCAGCATCCCCCCA